ACTAAATTACTTTATATTTATTATTATTATAGGTCATCTGAAAGCACATTTTGCATATGAAAGTCACATTGAAGATAAGAGTAGATGCTACAGGTAAGTAATTTATAATAACTATTTGTTATAAAAATATTGTTCCTAATGTTTATTATTTAATAGTGACGGGTATTGTTTGCACCTTTATGGACCTAGCAAAGTGAGTGATTAGTTATCAATACAATATAAATAGTCTAACGCTTTGTACAATGTTGTGAATATTAATTAATAAACGATTGTATATTAGTTCACAATACCCATATTCCAAGTACCTCCAAATAAATACAAACTCAGCATTTTGTTGTGGAATAATATACCAATTACAATGATGGTAAGTATCGAAATATGTATTGTTTAAAGTTAATTGTATACTGAGTATAAACATTTGGTTTTGTAGACAACAATAAAAACATCAATTGAAGAAATACAATATGAGACGGACATTGAATGTAACGACTGCTATATTGAATACATTTTACCGTGCGTGGTTAACGTTTTGTCTGAAGATGACATTATTATAGACTTTGTTACCGATGTAAGTATGGTTATTTATTCATTGACTTATGTAATGTCTTAAATTATTCTAACTTTAACTCTATTTTAGCGTGGCACATTTCTTTATTGGGTTTGTTTATATTCGGAAGAAAAGTTAGATACTGTGGAACGTGACTTGAAAGTTAAAACATTTCCAACTGGTGTAAAAATGATTGATTATGAGCAATATCGTTATCCTTATCCTGATAGCACATATTTTATTTATCGTTAATGCGAACACTAATGATACTCTACTAAACTGAACTGTACTGTATGTTATATCTTAAATATGAAATTATGTCTCCTCGCCGAACACCGTTCAAGACAATTACGGTCGATGCTATTCATGCGTGACCTAGGAACAATAATCACGAACTTAATGCGTATTAACAAGTAATTCGTATAAGCACCGGGTCCGATATCTATTTTTCAATAAATACGTAAACTAAGAAGTATTCATTATAAGCAGCATACGTCACGATGGTCATGATTTATCCTTTATCGCACTCACTTGAAAGTAAAATTTGGTTTATCCTTTGCTTATAAACGCTTATGAGGTTATTGTCTCGAAGCTAATCTACAAGTTAACATTTTTATCTTTATGCGATTTACAGTGGAATTGTTGTACACAATGAATGTGACCGTTATTTGCATCAAGTTGATACTATACAGTATAGTACTAAACGTTGTAATAAAGAGATTTTGCTACTAACAGCAACTAAAGCTTTTCGGGTTTCAGTTAACATATAAAGCGAAGCATATTGAATCAATATTAATATCTATGTTTTGGTTTGGTTATGTCAATTGTATAGCTCTATTAAATAGTGAGGTAAGCTTTTCGAGTGTTGATAGCTATAACTTAATTGTGTTAGAGTTACATAGCACTTCTTAGAGTAAATTTTATGTTAATTGGGCTTGGATAATCTTGGCTAGTTTATTAATTAATATGATAATTAAACACTTACTTTATTAGGCACAAACATCCCTCACCTCATATCTATAAGATAATAAACATTAGTAACAATATTTTTATAACAATATAAATAGGTATTATTATAAATTGCTTACTCCCTGAATCTACGCCTATTTTCAATGTGACTTTCAAATGCAAAATGTGCTTTTAGATAACCTATACAATAATAGTAAATATAAAGTAGTTTTAGTATGCATACGTATAAATATATTAAGGCCTATATTAGCACATCGCAACACATCTCCCATCGAACTTACGAACGAAAAAAAAAATGGCGAGTGCTGAAAAGTTGTACAAAGACGCAAAAAAGGCGCTAGAGAAGTCGGAGAAGGCGCTAGTACTAGAGAAGTTCGAGGATGGAGAAGACGGAAGGTGGCTGACAGAACTGAAGAGGAGGAAGAGACAAAGAGAAGCTTGACAGTGAGGACATGCTGGAGATGGTCAAGCTAGAGAATAAACAGAAAGCATTGGAGGAGGCAAAGGAAGAATGGGACATAGAATGGAGTAGACATAGTAATATGGGTTTCTTATGCTGCGAGTTTGCCAGTAGAATGTTACCAAAGTTAACTCGACTTGAACCAGATCAAAACCAAATTTTGAGTACACTCAGTAGAAAACTCTTTGAACATCACTTGAAAAGACAATCAGAACATGAAGATATTGAAATACTTGGAAATTTTAAGAAAGGTAAAATAATTTTTGAAGCCTTCTGCAATTACTATTCTGCTTGCATGATCACTTATGCACTATAATATATAGTTCGCTATACAGAAACTACTGACTACGAGATGATTTATGAGGATATATATCCCAGCCTTCCTGATGTGCAATGAAAAATATTCCAATCGATACATTCATTCGGAAGCTTCCAGGATTACAGTCAAAGGAGTTACCCCAGGAATTGAAGGAATATCACCCAGATGGTGAATGGATGCCACCTCCATTAAATAGTGATGAGGTGAAAGATATGCAAGGACCGATGGTTACTCTATTGAAAGACCTTGCAAAGCATTCTCAACAACATGTACTTGGCAAGGCAATACAGTTATCGCACATCCACCATGCAAGTGTCTTCAGTTCTGTGCAACCACAATTACTTTGGTCATTGGTTATCTGGATTATAGAGTTAAAAGACAACTTATCGAAACTTGGCAATCGCAAGAATGGTATTGGAGAAGTGATTAACCGCTTGGAGCTTATTCTCGAGCATCAGCCTAGCCGTACTTTTGCACGTTTTGATGTTTATCGTTGCTAATCGGTCACATGGTAAAATAACATATCACTTTTCTGAATCCGTCTCTCTGAAAGAAAGAGGTATCTCCATACTTTATCAACTTTTTCAAGCAGAGCCAGGGCATCTCGTGTATGCTCAACACGTATTACCAGTCTCAATTTGTCTTGAAAATAACATAAGGTTAACTGAGCTAGAAATAATCCGTCACGGTTATTGTCGCAAAGCATGGGTGATTTCCGGTGTAGTGAATTGCGCTGACATAGGCATCAACAGTACAAACAACGGGACCAAAGTCATTGTGAAATATGGCTGCGATGCAGCAATGCTTAAAAAAGAATACGAAATTGTTCAATACCTACAACGCCAATCGGAAGCTATGTATATTCGACTACCGCCATCAGCAATTTTGAATTTACACCTTGCTTAGTTTTGGCCCCCCATGTGGCAATCCGATAGTTGAACTCGGTGATGGAACAACGACACTGGCATTGTTCAAGGATATCTTGACTACATTACAAACTGTGCATAATTATGGTGTATTTCATCGAGATATTAATCCAAAGAACATGGTTGTTGTACGTGAAGGTGATAGAAATCTGGCTTATCTTATTGATTGGAACATCGCCATTTTATCAACAGATACAGAAAATGATGACTTCTCATGCACACCTTTATATACTTCCCACAATCGCCTTAAGACGCTATTAATGGGAACTCCTGACAAACGAAGCACGTACACTTATACATTACACGACGATTTGGAATCTCTTTTCTGGTCTCTTCTTGATGTCCTCGCTCAAGCGGACGTTGGACATCGATTACCATGGTACCGCCATCTTAAGAAGCCATCATCGTTGAAAGATCTTTGCGATTCTCGTTATGCAATTGTTTATGATGATATTGAATAGAATACTATAATGAATAGCCAGCTATTATATTTGAACGAATCTGTTCGTAATGTAATCAATTATTTGCGCAATGAGTTTTTACTCAAAAACGGCGAATTTTCTCTTGAATTGAAGTAAGTATCACAAGGTTAGCAATAGTAATATTTTATTGATCGCCTCAATGTTTGTGACAAGCTGCACAAGTATGTAGATTTTATTGACTCGTTTCAGTGGCGTTTTCGATAAAATAAAACATGATATGAGTGTTGTATTCCTGTAAAATGTTTCCGGTCTGGTCAGAAGATATTACGTGCTGGAGGTTTTTGCACTAGTAATAATATGATGATGCAAATGAAATTATAGATTTTGATTGGTGCGGGCTTGATGGAAGTGTTTGTTATTTTATCAGCACCAAAAAATTCCTATGACATCATAATGTTGATTGAACGGAATAATTGAAATACACAGACGCGTTATTCTCCATAATGATATCCGAAAAGAAAATACCATCCTTAGCAACGACAGGAAGAGTGTACTTATCATTGACTTTGAATTAGCAACTATCGATAATAAAAATGGATCAGTGCGCTGTTTGTTAAATGAGATGGTGACATGATAGAATTTGGGTTGCAATAATAATACTGTTGTATGTCAGAACGGAATTTATGTCAGGTCAGAATTTGTGTCACTTCCGAACTGACCATATGTCAGACCAGAATTTTATGTTAGTTCCGAAGTGACTATGGCCAGATCGGAATAATACAGAGAATTAATAATGTAACAACATTTATATTAATGCTACTGCTCCATAACCAACTGATATTGTTGCTAATTGTAAATGCGAAGGGTTAATCATGAGGTTCTCACTTCACTAGTCTCATGTACTAAGTAAAAAAAAAGATTCAACTTGAATTGCTCAACAATAATGGCTTAAACAAAGATTCAAAAAAGAACAACAACAACAAACTACTACTACTTTTAGGGCTTGTGTGATTAAAGGTATCAAACGCAGTTTACGGTTAGATAGTAAATGTAGTCAATGTGTGTGTTAGCATTATAGTTAGAATGTATTTCGATGTTTGTATTTTGATGTTTGCGCCTGATGTGCAATCATATGCTTTTTTAGCATTATGGTTAGACTGTAAATGTAGCTTGCATTGAAATTACTGGATAGTATGGTTATATTGTTTGTGTAATTATTGGGACAAGTTGTTAGTAGTTTTTGCGCGCGGTGATTTATATTGAAAAGACCGTAACAGTAATATAATTTTTAGCCTTACTATTAGAATGTATTTGACGTTGATTTTACATTACGATTAGATTGTATAACTGATATTAATATTTGTCCAACTAATATACAATATTGCAACTTGGGAGACTGAAAACTTTATGATAATGACAATTTAAACTACTATTAACTGCAGCTTGGCAGAAATAACTTAATGAGACTTGAAGTATTGGCTCTGATTTCGATAACGTATAATTGTTTGTATAATTATTATAGGTTAATGGTATTTTGAAATTTAACGATGAAATAAATTTCAACCCACTTGAACAACCTGGATGTTTTTAATGTGTTTTCGATTAAGTACATTCTCAAAACGGTCAAAGGCTCAATAAATGACCGATAATGAACAATTTTCCCAAGAAGAAATTCCAAGTGACAAATGGCTGTCGGTGAAATAATCCTGTCGGTGGAATGGTTGTCAGCGAAACATAACGTCTGCGAAGATATTAGTATCCTTTTCAGCAGAGTTTAATTTTTCGTGTGCATACAAATATGACATAAGCATGCTATAATTCCGATCTGACATACAACAGTTCTACCTATTTACTAGTGTGCTAATGATGTTAGTACAGGAGTATAATAGTAAGCATAGACTATTATCGACGTCGATACATTGTCTTCGATCTGTAATGTGCACGACGAAAGCACGTGTTGCATGACATGGTAATATTTCCGTATGCAGGTACGTACGTGTCAATACATCCGCCATCGCTCATAATAATAATAAAATCATTGGTTAATACTTAAATTTTATATGTCCAATGTCCAGTTTGTTTACTTGAAGATATTTTTGATCTAATAGCAATTGTGCTCTTCCTAGACCGTAGACACATTGTACTTGTCTAACCAGCAATTCCTTTTGTCTTGACTATTGTTCAAAAATTAATGCAGCACCTTCACCCAGTCATTTGTTGTAGTGTTGTTTGTACGGGCAGTGTTACTGGCGTTGGATACAATTGTATCAAAAATGTGGAATTTATCAAAGACTGTTGTACAATGATAAAACTCCTGCTGGCAGAAGACGTTAGAGACACATAAAGAACGTCAGTTGGAGTATAACATCGTATTCGTTCAATTTCATAGGGATTATTGAATGTTTATCGCAGAATAGTTATCCTAAATCTAGCTGTCAATAATTATCGTTAACATATTGATTATTTCTGTGTGCAATCGGCATCGAGCTTACCTCTCGCAGTATAACAGTATTTGATACATCTATTGGTTCAATCCAAGCTACGGCACAAGACAAATTACTTCTACTTTTCTATCCCCTAGTCCCTAATTACTATTAGTATGCTGTCATAACACTTAACTTTTAACAGTACTTTACTGTCTTTATTTATATATTACAATAGTCACTGTGAGCCTGTCTATCTTACAGCCCATTTCTCTCGCCTGAAAATGTTGTTCGAGTTGTTTAGCAGGATATAATGTAAACTTTAATTACAGGACGTAGACAAAACTCTTATTTGTGAGAGACATTGTTTGTGACTTACATTGGGCATATTCAAGTAGCGTAGTGTGAGGGTAAAAAAAAACAACAACAAAAACTTCATGCATAAATCGATTATCACCCTCCAAACTATCGTCTAGAATGTGATATAGCAATAGATACCATATATAAAACTGTAATAACAAACTTAAGAAAACAGAATGGTCAATTCTTGGAACAAAAAAAAAGATAGATCACTACACAGTGCGATTCGTGGTAAAATTGAGGGCTATCAATCGTGTATTTTTTGCCGGATAGATTAGAACATTCTGAAGGCAACGATATCGAAGGTGTACCACACTAAAACTTTGATACCAGGTACAACACAACTATGTGTTGCAGGTGTTGAAACGTAGAATAGTGTATAGATAATATAATTCGCTAATATTGAGGAAAATTGTTCTGTATTTTATTTTGTTTTGCATTTTGCGGCTGCCACTACGTTCTATTTATACGAACCATACTGTATTTTATCTATTCATGTATCATTATCATAATTATGTAATTACGATACAAACGTTAGTTTGTCTTTACGCTCTACTTACTTTTTTGTTCTACGTTTATCTTTTTACGCCAGCATTTTATTACACATTATTGTGTAGATTTTTCCCAAACTCAAGAACCTCATAAACAATATTTTGGCTACTTTAATTCCTCAAAGAAATTTTGTAAATCAACAATTAAAGCCGAAGATATTTCGCCGCGAGAACCTTTTATTAGGGTCTAAAGTAATTTTTCTTGTTAATTCAAAACTAATACAGCTAACCGAATGCTTGTGACCGCTGTAATAGGTCTTTTGCTAACTACTTATGAAGCCACTCGAAGAATAAAATTTGATGTTATCCTAGAAAAAACTCGTCATGGAAAAGAATTCTTCGAGGAATTTTAAAGCAAGAAGTAAAGTCATTGGTAAACTGATCACGTTTAAATATATTATTGACTTTAGCAAAAGTGTTATATAGGACTCAGGCGCCTGCGGATTTCCGGTAGAATTACTTGTTGGTTTGCGGATAGCGTACGCCTTCTTCGTCTCAAAGACAATTAAGATGTGACATTTTCAACATTCCGCCAGATTGTTCACTGCTCAACTTGACAAATTATTTGCAATTAACAGAATTTGCAGGCATCTGCATCTCATCTCACAACGATTAGTCCTCTTTTCTTTCAGGAACTCTAAGGGTATTGCGGCAAAGAACCTAAGATGGATGTACACTTTTATTTTTGTCAAATACTCGTTATTGAACATGCAATCACAGTTTGAAATAGTCAACCATTTTGTAATAGTCCTATGTATGGAATACATGAACGAACGTGTGATTGATGTTTGTTGAATGTTGCGAATATCAAAGAACAGCAGAATCCTTTGACCGTATTGATCCATTAGATTATCATGCAACTTACAATAACACGGAAAGAGACCTGGACACTCGACATGGGCTGATAGCCGTTAAGAACTCGCTGAAAGCCATTATTATTAACCCATGGCTCGCATCAATTCCGTCGATAAGATTTGTAATAGATACTATGTCAACATTTGGTGCTACCTTCCATTTTTTACTCATCTTTACATCAAAATCCTCTCATCGGTACAAAAGTAAGTTGAGAAACTCATTCTTGCTGCGTTGGTTAATGGGATATAATGATGTATAACATGTTTGTTTAAAGAGCCTCATAGCATGTCGACATAACTTTCGGGCGTGTCGTCAGCAATGCCAGGTTATAACCAAATTTTTGCGTACAGTAAACTAATAACAAATATGGTTGATGAATATGTCTGATTTTAATAACAAGTTTTGAATAATGGCGATAGAATTTAGCAGGTAACTAAAGAGCATTCAAGTGAACCTTGGTAATTGTTGAGAAATCAGTTTTCATCACCGCTTAACACATTCGTTAATCCTGTAACTGTGGTTACTTAACGATAATGAGATTTGCTCCCCGTATGCGTCATAAATGAACAAAAGGCAACTTGGTATGTTAGAGGTAGTATTACCAACAGGGAAGCCCGTATTCATACAATACAGTACTGGATTTGCACACATTCCTTTTTTTTTTGTGCCGATAGTTTCAACAATAATATCGCAAAGGAAGCTCCTAAAGACTACACTGATACATACTTCAACATCAGCTATAAACAGCAAACCCCTTTTTTATTATGTTATAAAAAGATGGGAACCATTTAAAATAAGTCACAGATATTGCGTCTTTGTCAATGAAAGCGAAAACATGGATTGTTCGGCA